TCTCTGGGTGCGGAGAGCCGTGCTGTGGGTCAGTGAGTCATACCAAGGATCTTGGCCCTGAGCTCTATGAATGCTTTGCACTGTGGTGATGACCGTATCATATTTGTTCCGACTCTTTGGCTGGCTCGCATGTCGAGCTGGCAAGTCTTCGACAGTCGTACCCTTCATTCTGGTTGGCGGGCTCCAGGCGGTCGCCTTCTGGCTAGGCGCATGTAAAAGCCATGGAGGCAATCAGACCCATCCAACGTCTTCTCCGCCGGCCCCTGAACCAACCAGAAAAAAAATAATTGATGATTCCACTCTTGTTCATTGGTGTCTTCAGAAGCTCAGCGATTTCCGCCCTCCGTGCCGCGCTGTCATGGCGCCACTAAAGCTGTCTATGTGTCAATTCGGCCGTAAGCAGATCTGCGTCACGACTCAAAGACGGCGTGGACGTACATACGGCCGCCAGCGTAGCACAAGGAAAAGTACATTGGCAACCGTATTCAGAAGTAATCCAATGATGTTATATTTGAATGTGGAAGGAACTAGGCGCTTCGTCACGTCCGGTTCTGTTTTCACTTCCATTCACACTGTCTCGCGAGAGCACTGCCAGTTGCCTTGAAGCTCGGCAATGCCTCCTTGGCATTGTGGGTGTCCAGAATCACAGCCCGTGGGAGAATTGCAAACAGAAGATGCCGTGTCAGTCGGCTTTCTTGGCAACTCGCTATCGCGCGAGCTCAATCCACTTTTCAAAGCTTTTCAAAGAAGACGGCGGGTGGCTTGTCTCTTGCGTAATCGGGCCTGCTTCTGACCGACAAGATTCTCCACGTGGTGGACCAATTGCATAACCGAAAGCCTCTGATTCTTGTATCCGGTCTGCAAAAAGGAAGAAAACGAAAGGTTGAAGATTAAGACGGCGGTAACGAAAAGGAAAGGAAGACATGAAGAACAAAAGTTTCTCTGGCATTATCACTGGCTGCAGCGGTCAACGGCCGCAGCGTTTGCAGCAGTACAACTGATCAATCACACACCAGCGTCCTGTCTGTGTCAATCATATTATGCTGAGCCGCACGACTTCTTCAGCAGCTAGCCGCGCGCCTACTTAGCCACGGCCGCGCTGGGCTACGCGATGAGTGTTGGGACGCGGACGCCGCGGCGGCAATGCCGTTATTAACGTGCAGCAAGGAGGTCGACGGGCTCCTGCTGCGGAGAAACTGTTCTTCAAAACTCGGGTCGTCGAACATCTTGAGGTCGTCATACTGGTGCTGGTGCTGGTCATTGTAGCGCTCCAGCGCGGCCATCGCCGGGTCCTCGGGGCCGGTCCCGAGCGGCGTCCGCTTCAGATGCTCGTCGATAAGCTGATCGTGCTGTTCGTCGGCCAGTAGCAACTGCGGTTGCGCAGTGAGCGGCTCGACCAGCATGTCGTAGGGCAAAGATCCGCCTGGCATCTGGCGCTTGTGCCCGCCTCCGACATCATACGGCTGATGCGGCTGCTGCCAGTAGTACTGGCTGTGGCAGTCGTCGAACCCGGGCATCTGGCCGTAGACTGCTGCTTGCTGCTGCTGCTGACTTTGTGATGTGGGGTGGCGAATATTAAATATGATGGTGTGCGGGGAGCCGCTCTCGGCGGCGTGATGGCGCGCAGGGACTTGGACGCGCGTTCTGTGCGCGTTGGAAGTCTCGCGCAGCCTCTGCTCCAGGCCATCCTTCACAAGCTCGGCCTCGACGTGGACACTCTTCCACTTGTAAGCCGGAGCGTAACCCTCGTTATGAAGCTCCTCCATGAGGAGCCTGGAGATCTCGTGATAGCGATTCTTTTTCCACCGCAGATAGGCGCGTAGAAGTGCGGCTTTCTGCTCGAGGATGAGATTAGTGAAGAGCTCGGTTCTCCAGCAGTGTGGTGGCCGCAGTTTCAGGCGGCGGTATGTGGTGGATGTGCACTTACTTCGCGCGCCGGCCAAGCGCCGTGTCTCAAGACGCCCCTGTGAATTCTCATCTGCAGCTTAGCCTTGACCTGAATCTTCTTGTCTTTGCTGAGGGCGTCGGCCTCCTCGGGCCCCAGATAGTCCCTGATGATGTTATTCCACATGCCACGGCCCTTCGTGCTGGACCATTTCTGCCTGATGCTCCACAGCCGCCTCAACTCGGCCGGAGTCTTCTGGTCCAAGTCGACCTCCCCTTCTGGCGCGGGTGATCGATAGCGCCTTCCGGCGTCATCAAGCCCGAAGGCCTGGGACATCGTTGATGTGCTGGACGATCGCTCGTTCTCCATTTGTGCCTGTCTGCCACTGGGCTTTCAGTTGTAGCTGGGATGTCTATTGATTAGGACTGTTAGGCTTGCCCATAGTTTGTTGAGATGCCTTAACATCGGGAGCACTTTACCGGGGCACTCCCTTTGTCGAGATGGAAAACAGCTTCTGTGTGTAGTATGCGCTGTTGATGTCTGACCGACACAGGCCACGTATTGGCCCCTTAAGATTTGTCGCTCATCACATCTTTGAAGTAGTACGAAAACCGTGCATTGGATACCCATCCAGCTTACATTGCGGGATTTGGGTCTCAAATCCTTTCAGCCAAACACGTTCCAGCCTTTAACCTCAGGACGACGTCGAATCCCCACGAATGGTAAACCTGTCAATTCTTGCAGGTAGGCAAGCGCAAAGTTTTATACGTACCTAATGTAGAAATCTGATGAGCCTATTCCGTGACGGCCTAGAGGCTGCCTCAGCGTGTGACTCGCTGTCCCGACTTTGCAGGTACAGTATACGGCGTGATGTTGCAGTATGATCAAGCCTCCAGTCGAAGCCTCCAGTCGTCCCGGGCAGCTCGGGCCTGAATAGCTAGTCCAAAACCTGATTGGCTGTTGAGGACATATTATATGTGCCATGAGTGGGGCTTCAAACCGGATAGGTCATGACATTTTGCTCCCGATTAGACAGGCAGCGGTAGATTGACCAATCGGCTCACCTCCAAAGAGGCCGAAGAGGACTTGCAAGCTAGTCAGGCACCCTCGCCGAAGACAGAGCCTGTCGCGTTCCGGTGCGAGGTGCAATGTGTTTCCCAAAATAGCGAAACTCAGAGTTACTGTGGACAGCAAAAATGGTGTATACTACAGCAATACTGTCGAGCCTCCAGATCTGGTCCATTCAGCCTCTACCATACGTGTTACATAGCACGCTAGCAAGGACCCACTTCTGGGCGACCACAACGGACTGGTCGTACAATGAAACAATGTATCCGACGCTACTGGGCCCTTGTACCATTTCGCGCCACCAACTTGACGAATGCTCCAGCCAATTAGAGTAAAGTGAAGTGATCAGGCAGACATACGGAACGCAGTTTTGGGCAGCGAGGAATCGGTAACATCATGGTTGTGCGAGCGGTGAACGCGCAACACTCCAAGAATTCCAGATCCTCTACAGTGCTGTGCAGTACTGTAATTACAGTATACAAAAAGATAAAAACAAAGGGGGGAAGGACTCCTAAGGGGTGCTACTGGGGCAGCTGGATAGTCATCAGGTATGCTACAGTATTTTCTCGATGGAGATTTTTTGTGTATAGGTCTTCGGCTGCCAAGCTAGTCAGCTGCGTGGCCCGTTAGTATTGAATTAGTATTGACGCGTAAGGCCTCATGCCCAATCTATGCTCTTGGGATCCAAGTCCAATTTGCTAAAAATCACACGGCCAATGAACCTATTTAAAAAGTGATTATCCGGGCTGTGTGGACCTTGGCCACGACGATACTGGCTACGTTGTGATTTTAATATCATAGTCGGTAATCAATAAGCTTGTATGTAGTGGAGTCGCCCAGAATACAAGTTGATTTGCTCCAGTCTTGAGGTACGGTCTGCCGTAGGCGGACTGGAATGCAGATGGCGAGCTCCAACTTGACTGGTCAATAGTCAGACATAATGTCCGCCCAGCAGACCTTTTCCTCTGCGTATGCACTAAGGCGTGCAGAAAGAAATGCACCAAAGCCGCCTCCTACAACTCGGGTGCAGTGTCCGTGCTCCATGCATGTCGCCGGTATATGTAAACAAGTTCTCCCCGCCTTCAAGACTGCAAGAAAGAAAAACAGCGTGTTGCGTCTGACCGCGTGATCATCAAGACTCAAGACCCACCATGACGTTGACGCTCTCGCATTTGAAGGGCGTAAAATTTGACTTGACGTTGAAATGGGTGGCATCAATCCCATCAGTCTATCTATGACCACTGCGCCGAAACTCTGTTCTGGCTCGTGGGCCCTGCAGGAACCGGCAAGTCCACCATCGCACGCACTATCGCTGGCTCCTTCCACAGCAAGAACCGACTAGCTGCTGGCTACTTCTTCAAGAGAGGGGAGCAAGGCCGGAATGACACCACTTGTCTGTTTCCCCCTCCTTCAACTGCCGTCTTCAACAAAGTCTTCACAGTCTTGATAAAGAGGCAGTAGAAAAGAAGGGCCTTGACTTCCAATTTAATGAGCTTCTTTGGCTCCCCATGGCAAATTGTACCGACACAAGCCAGCTGCCGAGGGTGATCGTCAGATGAATCAAGACTTGGACTCGTTCAACGTTCAGTACCCTGGCCGCTTACAATGTCTTCGCTACAGCAGCCAACTCGGACA